ACACCAGGATGTCCTGCAGTCCACCTGTACTTTACACAGTCGGCCCTTTCTATCTGTAGGTTCTGTATCCACGGGTTCTGCACGTGAGGATTCAACCGGCAGTGGTTCAAAAATATTCAAAAACCAATTATGTCTGTACTGAACATGTGCAAACTTTTTTCCTCACCCTTATTCCCTAGAATACAGGGTGTAAGAGCTACTGACACAGCATTTACACTGCGATGGGGATAAGTCATCCGGAGTTGATTTAGAGTCTGCCGGAGGATGTGTGTAGGTTCCATGCAGATTCGGCACCATTCCCTGTATGGGATTTGAGCACCTGCTGATCAGGGTGTCCTCAGTATCTAGGAACCAAATTCCCCAGGGGACCGCAGGGGGTGACTGGCCCTGAGACCCAAGCCCCCTCAAATATACGTATTGGGCCCCAGTGTGGCGGCTGCTACAGAACTCCAGGGTGAAAGCACGTGAGCCTCTTCTCTCTCCCAGGCTCAGGTCCTCGAAAATCCCACTGCTTCCCTTCCCGTGCTGGGCAGCGCGGCGGCCGTCAGCGTGCTGGGGAACGCTGTCTGGTCTGCACGCAGTCCCTCTGATTTACGACCCCGTGCCTGCAGCAGTGCAGAGTCTTGGAGAAAGACCAATTCTATGTGCTTAAGCGTCTGATCCTGAGGCTCAGGCATCTCTATGGCCCCTGGCAATGGTCAGCTTTTAATTATCAATCGATGCCATCCCTGAAAGAAGGAACCTGGCCACTGCTGGCTGCTGCGTTCTGAAGAACCCGGGCAGAGGGCCACGGCTGCCCAGTGCTAGACGCGACCTGGGCAAGGCAGCGGATTGCCCGGTTATTTTGGACTGTCTTGACTTTTGTTCCGGAGGAGTAGCCCATTTCATCCCGAAAGGGCCCTCTCCGCGCACCTGGCCCTGCAAACATGATTTATTTGCTGGAGGACTCAAACCTCACAGCAAAGCTGCATAAAGCTTAGAAAAACACATCGACTTAAAGTTTCTATTTTTACACGGTGTCCTGTTTCCAGAGGGGCTGAGACTCGTGGTTTCAAACTCAATTTAGTATTTAAGCTAATTTTCAGCCAGGTCTCTACGGAGCCGCAATTAGGGAAGGAGGAGAGTTCAAAGGCGGAGCTCCAGCCCCTGCCCCCGGGCAGGCCTGTGTGGGCTTTGAGGACGCTCTCCACGCTCCTTCCGGCCGCAGCTGGAGCAGACAACCTGTTGCCGCGGCCCCCTGTCGGGTCACAGCCATGGCGGCCAGGGCTCTGACACGCCCAGCTTCTGGAAAGACGCGGCCAGCCAAGGCCATTCATCCCTTCGCCTAGCTGTCCTGAGGAAGGATCTGAAAACTTCCCGAGGACTCTGCTGCGCACTGCAGGCCAAGAGGTACAACGGGAAGGACAACACGAGAAGAATGGGCCCTTTCAGTTCCCAGAGCCACGCGGCCCTCAACCAACCCCCAGCCGGCCCGGCGGGGCAGCCGCAGCCAGCCCAGGGCACACAGCAGCCAGGCTCCAGACGCCTGCACTCTCCTCCCGGCTGGCCCTGCGGCTTCTTGTGTGTCCACAGCTTGCCTCTGGGCCTCAGGGTCCTGCTGTAGGTGATGAAGTTCAGGCGCTGGAAGATCATGGCACAAACTGCAAAAGGGAGGCAGTGTCTCTCCCCGAGTCCCAGGCTGTGTCTCTCCCCAAGTCCCAGGCAGGGGTCTCGCTGCCTTAGACACCCTCCCAGGAGTGTTGGGTTCCTTGGCACACTGGCCTCTTCTTTCTTCTTCAGTCTGTTTATTGTAAACGGCATTGCCTTCTGCACGCTCTTCAGTCCTCTCTTGTCTTGTTCCAACTCAGGAGTACGTTGTGGACAACATCTTAGGTCCTGTGGTTCTAGAATCCAGGAATTGGGTCTACTAGAGTCCACTTGGTAAGAAGCCGGATGAATGTTCCCACCACCGCCGCTGCAGCGGCATGGGGAGGAGAAACGGGAGGAAGTGTTTTATAGCCAGGCTCATAAAACACTCTGATGTCCCCTGGTCAGCCACCCTCCTCGTGCCATGAGCCCAGCAGACAGCATTCTGGACATTAACCCCCTCGGCGCACGCGTGTTTGCCTTTTTTGCAGGAATGAAAGACTCAGGCTCTGAGACTTGGGAAAGTACCAGTGCCCAGGCCGATGAGGGCGGCAGAAGTGGATTCCAGCACGGGCTACCATTTCCCAAGGCCATTTTCCTGCCAATGGATCCAGACGGTGTTAGAAAAACAGACAAATAAAAATAAACTCTTCAACTGTTCTGATTCAAAAAATTCCCCAAAGATCAGCTGTACAACAGCCACCCTCAATTCCCATGGTGGGGTTCAATCATTTCTCCTTGCAAGACACACGTGGGTGGTCTCCCAACAGACAGGCTCTGGCTGCTCAGGGGCACTGATCACAGGAAGGGATGAATCCACCGGAGCCACAGGCCTGAGGAATGCTGGCTCACCCCTGCTGACCTCCATGTGAGGCCACACGTTGGAGGGACAACAGTGAGTTTAGGGGGGAAAGACAGAGGTAAGAAACGAAAGCTGATGGGGGCCAGCACTGTGGCATAGCGGGTAAAGCCACCGCCTGCAGTGCTGGCATCCCATTTGGGCACCAGTTCAAGTCTCGGCTGCTCCACTTCCAATCCTGCTCTCTGTTATGGTCTGGGAAAGCAGTAGAAGATGGCCCAAGTCCCTGTGCCCCTTCACCCGCATGAGAGACCCGGAAGAAGCTCCTGGCTTCAGATCGGCACAGATCCGGTTGTGGCCAACTGGAGAGTGAACCAGCAGATGGAAGACCCTCTCTCTCTCTCTGTCTCTCCTTCTCTATAACTCTGACTTTCAAATAAATAAATAAATCTTAAAAGAAAAAAAAAAAAAAAAAACAAGAAATGAAAGCTGATGATGGTCCTTCTTTTCTTTTTTTTTCCCCCAGTGCTAACATGAGCTTACGAGCTCTAAGAGCCCATGTGGGCATGCGCAGTTGAGGAAATCAACCGTGGACCTGAATTAATGCAAACGACCAGCCCCGGGTTAAGTCTGGAGCAGAAATGCGGGTGCTGCCTGCAGCCCTGGTGGGTGCTGTGGCTGCACCTGCCTCCTCCAGGAGCAAGCCAGCCTCCCTGCTTCCTGGCTGTTCTTATTAGCATCTCTGACGACAGAAGGGGAGCCAGGGATGTGAAGGCCTCTGCCTGCCCAACAGATCTTCATGTAGGTTCAGGGAGAGATGGGGCCATGCACTTGGCTCACGTGAGATCTCTGGGCTATCTGCCGCTTTTATTCATGACGCTCACGCCTCCCATGATCAGAGATCATTTGAAAGTTGGCCTGATCGGACTCAGAGGAAGACAAGTGTAGGAATGCAAATCCCCAGTCTCTGCTATCTGTAAGAATCAGAGACCCTGGGAAAGTGCTCCCTAGTCACAGTGCTCAGTGCTGACCCTGAGTGATGCTACCGTTGCCCAGCCAAGCGAGGTCCCAGAATGTAAGTAAAGAAAGCCCACAGTTCCTGTCTATGTCCCCAGGAGCGCCACCAAGGCCAGGTACCACACTGGGGAGCAGGTTCTCCTAGATGTCATCGTTAGTGAAGCCACCTGCTGGAGGGTGGCATGCTGGGCTCCTTTCCTTGGTCACCCACAGGAAGGGGACAGGCAGCTGTCCCACCCTCACCTGCCCTCTTCAGCACCTTTGAAACACCCAAGGCAGAAGAGCAGACCTGGCTCCTAGTCTGTGTCGTAGGAAAACCCAGTGGCATCATGGGCCCTGTTGGCAAGCTGTCCAGGTGCAGGTGAGTGGCAGGCAGCACCGGGTCTCGGGGCACCTGTCCCTCATCGTGCTGCACCTTGCACCTGGGGACACGCCCCCAGCGAGGTGCAGCAGCAGGAGACACTTGCTCAGCAGGGTTTTCACAGTCGTAACAAAGGCCACTTTCGTGACAAGAGCTCAGGATGATGGAGATCAAAAAAGTGGCACTGAGCCATCTCTGGCAATGCAGCTCTCTCTGATGTCTCCATTGGTTATGAGGATTACTAAGAAAAATGAGTTACAAATAAAAATGAATAAGCCACCAAAGCCAAACAGGGCTCTGCAACGGGAAAGCCCATGTTCCCCGGGAGCCAATCACAGTGACAGAGGTGACAGTGCAGGGATGAGCCGGTGGCCCCTGCAGCAGGCCTGGGGCTGCCCGCGCCTCACTGCTGCTGACCAGCAGCCAGTGCCCCTCTCGGCCTGGGAGTCACCAGGCCCTGCCGTGGGAGCGATCGGGTTAATGCTAACATGAACTCTCAGCTGGTGGGAAGGAAACGCTTTGTGGACTGCAAATATCATTACTGAAGTATCACTGCAGAAGAGAATACGCGACGGTTCTAATTGCTTCCTGTCCTCCTTGGTCCTCCCTTCTGGTCCCAGGGACTTGACCCTTCATTGGGTACAATGGAAAAGACATGGGATCTGGGGGAGAGAAGTCTGGGTTCAAGGTCTCCACTGAAACGCACTCATCAGGTGGCCCTGGAGACACACCCCCACATGGTCAGCACAAGGCAGATCGTGCAAGGATGTTACAGACACAGAGGCAACTCACGTTTCCTGCGGCCCTCCTCACCCACCCTGCCGCTTGCCCAGGGCTGGGGTCAGTGCTTGATCTGGCGTCTTTTGCCACTGTGGTTTATAGCACCTCTGTTTTCCCTTCGTGTTTTCCTCTTAGAACCACAGAAGAGGCTCCTGGGATATTAGAGGGGAAAGGAGCCACCGCCCCACTCTCCCACCTGCTCCAAATAGGAAAATCCCATCCTCAGATCACAGAGCACGCCGGCGGCAGACCTGGGTCTCGGACTGTGTCCGTGTCCTCCCCTACACCCAGCCTTCCACATCTCCCCTCCCAGGTCTCCCTGGACCCCAGAGAACATGCCTTTACACAAAGGGCCACCCGCTTTATGGAATAGACAGGGCACGGCGGGGCTCCGCGGGCAGCCGCCGGAACAGGTACCTTCGCATTCTGCAGCGGAGGCTGGTAACTGGATGGCCGGTAGAACATCCGCTGGGCGGCATCAGTGTGGATGTCGCCGAGGAAGAGCTCCTCCACCAGGTGGTCCAGGTTGTGGTGCAGGTACTGCTTCTCCACCCGGACCAGCTGCAGCTCGTGCATGGCGAAGTTCACGGCTTTGGTGCACTCGCAGCCATTCTCCTCCCGCCACAGGTCGTAGGCCACATCCTGCACCCAGGGGGTCCCCGAGGCCAGGAAGCCCGGGCATGTGCGGTTCACGCGCTGGCTGAGCTGCTCGGCGACCGCCTCCGAGTGGCAGATGACCTGCACGCTGTGCAGCTGGTAGTCGGCTTCCGTGCCGCCGCGGATGATCCAGGAGGCCTGGCGGAGGCGGATCTTGCCTCGGATGATGAGGGTATAGGTGGGGTTTGTGCACCGGTTGCTGCCATAATAAAACTGGTAGGCCTGGAAGGTGTTGTTGTGGTAGAATCTGTAAGACCGGGTGATGAACTCTGGCCCCGACCTGACTTCGCAGCTGGAGGAGACAAGGAAGGCAAGACCTTGTGAGCCCAACTGCACGTGGAAGAGGCTCAGTATCGCGCTGACAGATTTCGGTGATGACGAAACGTGAGCCACAGCCCTCACTCCCTCCTGAGCCCTTTGTGCGCCCCACCACCTCACTGAGCCTTTACAACAACCAGGCAGTTAGTACAGTTGTCACTGGCATCTCACAAATGGGGAACCCAAGGCACCAAGTTAGGGCACATGCCCAAGGTCATGTGACCAGCAACTATCAGGGCCTGAAACCAAATCCAGGCAGTGTAGCTCCAGCAGTTGCTCCCAATTATTCTAGCCCATAGAGCCTTCTACTCACAATATGAATACGAACAGGCCACAGGGCCACACTCTGCTGGGCCACACTTACACAGGAATGGCTTTGTTTCTGGAAAGAAATGGGTCTGGAGTCATGGCTCTCACAGAAGCTCCCTGCGGCTGACTCCCTGAACGCTTTGATTTTGTGGGCCCTGTCTGGAAGAGGCAGGTGCAAGGGAACTGTCACCCTGAAATGTACTCTGACCAGCTAGCGGCAAATGCAAAGTCATCCTTCCATCCATCCAGAACTAACCTAAAGTGAGGGGGCACCCAGGCGGAGGCCACGTGAACAGGGAGACAGAAAGAAGATTCCTTCTGTTGGCGCTGGGCAGCCAGAACATGCCCTCTGCTGGGGCATGACAGAAATGCTGGGTTCCTGGGTCAGAAACAGGCATGAAGGAATATAAAACGCCTCGGTGGGCGTCGGCTCAGGGACCTTCTCCCACTGCCTGCTCCATCATCGTCAGTTCACACAGGCGCAGCCTAGCCTGCGCCCGAGACGGGGCTGGTGATGGTTCTGAGAGCACCATGCAAAGAATTTGTCCTTAAGCCCTCTTTCGTTGCAGTTATGTCACAGCTCTCAGCTCATGGCATCTGGCCTCGTAACTCCACTCAGGTCTGTAACTTTGAACAGAGAATCTGCATTGTGCTGAGTTATGCAATTGGGCTGAAATCCCAAACTCAGTGGGTCTCAAACATCACCAATATTTAAATGTTGTCGTTAGCAGTCTGGTGAGAGGTCAACCCTACATTAGAGGCAGGAGCCTTTTGCCACATAAAAGTTTGCCAGCTGATGTCCAGCAATGCCCCACATGTGTGAGCGTGCAGCACGCGAGGACTTCAGCGAGTTTGTGGAAAATGAGTACTATGAAAAGATTATGCTCATCAAAAATCTTTGCAAACAAAATAACCTTATCTTTAAATTCCATCAGTCCACAAACTTTTGGAAGTACCCTCATCTACACAAAATCTAGGGCAGTGTCCAGCACAGGGTAGGCATGCCATCACTTTCTGTTGAATACAATGACAAATAATTTTAAAGTACATCACATGAAGAAGACTGAGGCAAATGATTTATCGTGTGGTTATTCTGAGAGAATCCATGTTTAGAAAAAAAATTCGGAATCTTCCTCATCTTATAAAATTCCTTTTTTCTCCTCTCCATAATTCAATCTCTCTCCCAGCAGGGTCCCTGAGGCTGCTACACATATCCCAATGTGGGGAGACGTGATCAGATCCCAGTCAGTCTGGTTAATTCTCAGCAATTTAATGGGTAGGAGAGAGAAAAAAAAAATCAGAGATCTGTCTCTCAGCTATTTTTAAAAGCTCTAATGGAAGATAAGCCTGAGCTCAAACTGGGATAAATCTCAGCTTCCCAGCATGGAAAAGAATCCAAGAACTATGCCCTGGCTGGTGGAGGTAGCTTTTAACTTACTCTTGGAACCCTGCGACTGTAGATTAAGTTACCAGAATATGGCTAGAATATTTAGACACTAAGCGGCTTGCAAGTCATGTTTCAGCGCTGGTGAAACACAGGCTCTTCATTTCACTTGCTAATGGTTTCTTTTTAGACACAAGTGGGCCCACAGAGTTCAGGAAACAAGGATCCATTCACTGGTACCACGTGGCTAGCAGTGGTACAAGGTCATCTCGAATGAGGTTTCTCCAGCACTTGTTCCTGCTTGCTCACTAACTGTGACTTCAAAGAGTTAACATGGACCTTCCTGAGAACCTAGACAAGGCGTCCATCACTGCAGGTGACACAAAGTCTCCAATGCATGAGAGAGACCCGAGCTGTGTGCCCCTGGCCCCTCCGTGGCCTTACCCCGTGGAGACCCAGTGGCCCTCGATGGTGGGTGGCATCTGCACAGTGATGCGCGCGCCATTGTGCAGGTGCTTCAGCATGTGATGGCACTGCGATTCCTTGAAAGCCCTCCAGGCGCTCTTCTCCAAGGATCTAGGATGGGACCTGCTGTCTGGATGAAGGAGGGCAGAACCCTCTCCCAGCCCTGAAACAGACAAGCACAAGTCAGCTCAAAGGACAACGTGCAGCAGACGTGGCTCAGGCCGGATGACGGCCTCCGCAGCCGCGAGCAGCTGCAGGTGGGAAAGGCAGGCTTCCCCTATGGCACTTGGCCATGTCCACACCTGTCCCCCTACAGAATTCACGTTTCCAAGTGCCAAGTCTTCTCGGAGATCATTTCCTGGGTGGGAAAAATGAGGTCCATGGACGGAATGCACATGGCTCGCTTGCAGTCACTTGGTTAACTCCCAGCAAACCAGAGCTCAAGTCCATGCACCTGTGAAACAGCAGATAATGTTGTGTATCTCCAGGACTCGCTTGTCCAGGCTAGAAGTGAATGCAGTGGGGATTGCAGAAGAGAGAAATGGACCTAGTCCAGAATCCCAGCGAAAACACAGCCTGGACAGAGACGGAAGGAGAAAGGCACCAAGTGGTAGCCTGGAAACTTGCAGCTGGGACGTGGTCCTGGGCCTGGCTCCTGTCTGCTCCCTCTGCTCTCTCACCGAATGGGTACCCTGGCTTCAGTCTGAGTGTGTCTCTCATGGGGTCACATGAGGATGTTTGGTGCCCTGCACGGCCACAGTGAGAGCTGGAGGAACCTTTAAGAGGTGGGGCCTGGGCCGGCACTGTGGCTCACTAGGCTAATCCTCCGCCTTGCGGCACCAGCACACCGGGTTCTAGTCCCGGTCGGGGCGCCGGATTCTGTCCCAGTTGCCCCTCTTCCAGGCCAGCTCTCTGCTGTGGCCAGGGAGTGCAGTGGAGGATGGCCCAAGTGCTTGGGCCCTGCACCCCATGGGAGACCAGGATAAGTACCTGGCTCCTGCCATTGGATCAGCGTGGTACGCTGGCCATGACGGCCATTGGAGGGTGAAACAACGGCAAAGGAAGACCTTTCTCTCTCTCTCACTGTCCACTGTGCCTGTCTTAAAAAAAAAAAAAAAAAAGAGGTGGGGCCTGGTGGGAGGTCATTAGGCCATACGTTAAGGCAGTTTTCATGGAACCCCAGTTAGTTCTTACAAGAAGGTGTTGTCAAAGCACAGCTTGGCCACGCTGTGGCCTCTCTGGCTCCCCATATCTCCCCATGAGTTCTCCCACCTCTGTGAGGCGGAGCAGCCGGGGGGCCCTCACCAGAGCCGGTGCCTCCAAAACGCAGAGCTAAACAATCCTCTTTTCTTTACAAAGTGCCCAGCCTCGAATATTTCACGATGGCAGTGGGAAATGGACTAATGGAGCTGCTGTCGACTGAGCTGCTGGCCACCGCAGGGGCGAGGTGTGAGGCAGCCCTGCCGTGGGACACCGTGCGGCCTTTCCCTCCCATTATCTTTCAGGAGACAAATCAAACACCCAATATAGAGTTTTTAATTAAGAATACTCATAAGGAAAGTTCACATTTCTATTTCTCAGGGGTAAAGGCATACTAGGACTAAGTTTATCCTCAGTACAAATAGTTTAGATTGGCCGAAATTCACTCATGCAGAACTACCCCTGGCCTAATAAAGCAATGAAAACAAATGGAGTTAGAATGTGAAATCTCGCTGTTAACCTTTGAGGTTCACTCCTGAAGTGACAAACAAGTCAGCAAGTCTTTAGGCTGCACTGACTATACGCCTGGGGCTGTGTTAACAGAAAGACACTCGCCAGACGAACCTATACAATAAAAACATATGCAAGATGAACGACATGCACCTGTCAGAATGCTACTTCTAACAGGGGGCAATTCCATCTATTTTAGTCAACATCTGAACATCTTTGTGGCTCAACAACAGTTCAGGAGAGGTCGTGTGACATGAAAAGTGAGATGCAGGAACTTAGAGCGAGATGAAGAAAATCTACCTGGGTACCCTCAGACCTGCGAGCTGACAGCATTCAGATATCCATAGAAATACCCAGGGACTGGCCAACACGTGGCCCAAACGAGCCGAGAACTCAAAGAACTCTTGGTGCTGAGAAGACGTGGTCTCCATCCTTGAACTCTCTCGGGCTCTTCCGCTGATGACACGCGAGCATTGGGATGGAATCACAGCTTCTGGATGCTCCTGCAGCTCTTTGGAGCAGTGAAGGGCAGTGAGACAAAGGTACCATGGGTAGGGTATAATCAACTCGAGGAAAATCGGCAGAAGATGCTTGACATCTACAGAAGACTGTGCTGTGGTCAAATGAAAGGCAGTCTCACCCCCAGCACTGCTAGCCACGCCCAGAACCGTGGCCTGAGCCGCAAGGAGGGAAACTCCAGAAGTGAGCAATCGTCTAGTGGCGTCATTACCCACGCTCAGAGTTACTACGGTCGGTTCTGAAGCCAGGGTTTCCTTTCCTGTGGCCTGGGTTTCCGTGCCGGGAAGGCATTTCCAGAAGGGCTCCCGGGGATCCCCGCCGCAGCCCTCACGCAACCCTCCCCGCATGGAGTGGCTCTGTCACGGAGCAGGAGGAAGCAAATGTGCTTGCTTTTTCTCTGTTCTCAAAACCAGACTGCTTACAAAACGCAGGCGTTTTGATGAGTAAGGGTGCCGTTCAGCAGTGGCACTGAGCCGAGCAGAGCCCTGAACACTGGTGTTGAACTGTCAGAAATCCCATCACAGCCACCTCCTACACAGTGTCTACCAATGGACTCCTCATCACGGTTCTAGTGTTGTAATCCCCTCTGTTAGCTGTAAACTACAGCAGAGGAGAGAGGGGTACTACTCATCGTCACTTCTAACAATCTCAATAGTTGGGATGACCGTGAGTGCAGTAAACACTCCTAAATGTCTCTATCAGGCAATCAAGGAATAACACCCAACAGGACGGAAAACAGAACGGAGCTTTCTCAAAAACTTAAAAATAGAACTACCCCGTGATCCAGAATCCCTCTACTAGGGTATACTACCCAGAGGAAATGAAATCAGTATGTCCAGGAGACATGTGCACTCCCATGTTCACTGCAAGACTCTTCCCAGTACCAAGGAATGGAAACAACCCACGTGTCCATCAACTGATGCATGGATCAAGAGACTGTGGTACATGTACACAGTGGAATACTACTCTGTCATGAACAGGACGAAATTATGCCATTTGTGGCCACATGGGTGGAACTGGAGGCTATTATGTTAAGTGAAACAAGCCAGGCACAAAATGACAAAACCCTGTACAGTCTCACTCCTATGTGAAATTTTAAAAAGTTGACCTCATGGGAGTGAGGAGTGGAACACCGGTTACCAGAGGCTGGGGAGAACAAGGTGGGGAAATGCTGGCCGCTGTGCACTAAGCTGCATGAGCCAAGAGAAAGAAGTGCTGGCGCTCACTGCAGGGCAGCAGGGTGACTGCTGATAACAGTAATGTGTTCCATGTTTCCAAAAAGCTGCAAGAAAGCAGTGTTCATGTTTTAGCCACAAAGAAATGATAAAATTTTAAGGCGACAGATATGTTTACGTGAATTTGAAGACTGCATAATGTTTACATAGATACAATTTTTATGTGCCAATTAAAAATTTAAAAAACCGTGTAGTATAACCTGCTATCTGGTGGGTCAGTGGTACGATCAGTTATCTTGTGGCTAACTTAAAATAGATTTTAATTAAAGGCACATGGTATTGGGAGCTGGAGAAGATTCTGCCTGAAATATGAGCCTACGCATTCAGTAGACAGCATCATTTCACTACCCACCAAGCTGTGTTCTACAATTTAATTTGTAAGTCCCTTAGTATGCTACAAATGTTTTCCCATAAAGATAATAAAAGCCAGGAGCAATGTGGATGTGGGTGAAATATTCGAAACTGGATCTGCCACTTACAGGGTTTCACGGAATCCAAGACTCTATCATTATTTTATTACCAGGGATAAGAAAACACTCGGCATTTCAATGATGACACAATGCCTTCACAACAGTCTCGAGGTACCCACGCACGGATCATTCACAGCAGCCTTGAACGGCTCTGACATCTCTTTTACCGATTCAAAGCAATGTGGCAATTTCTCTTGCCTTCCACGGCACCGCTTCACCTGTGGCAGATCACCTGTTTGCTCTGCATGTATCTCAGCGACAAAACACAAACACAGCCTCATCTTTTCCTGGGTATCCCGCCCTCCAAGAGATCTGTGGATGTTATGGGAGAAAACACGGAATTGTGATTATTCTGCCTGCAGCAAACATTTGCTTCATTAATGTCAACTTCACACTCCCCTGCTCTGTTACAATACCTGCGTTTTTCACAGGGATTTTTCTTTTTCAGAGCTGAGTGTGCCACTTTTTTCAGTGAGTTTTGGAGGGAAATCCAAGTCGGCTTACTCAAGTGTTTCCTCTCCATCTTCAAATCAGCCTATTTGCAACCAAACTCAAGACACAAGTACCCAGGGTGCACATGCAGGAAGAAATGTGATGACAATGGAAGCATCCAAGTACAGGTCCACCCAAGGGCAAGGTCGCCCTTCCTGATGACCGTAGCCCCCTCTGTGAGATGTACACCCAAGGTCTCATGCAAGCTAAAGTGGTTATTAGCAGCGTGACCTTACACAACTTACTACTGTCCTGTGGCCTCCACGCTTTAGTCTATTCATCCACAACGAGATGACAGCATCACTACCATCAGCTAATCGAGTGCCTTTCATTCACTGTTAGCGAGGATTATTTCATATAATGATCACGCTCTTAGACTGTGCTTAAGAAGTCCCTTCGAACTCACAGAGTAGTTCCAATAATGGCAAATGTCATCCATAGCCAGGCCCAGCTGAGCTGAGGGGGACCAACCAGGTGTTCAGAGTAAAAGACCCTGGAGTTCCCAGGCAACATTGGAGGCTGACTCTGACATAGGAGCGCGCAGGACCCAAGGCACCAGGCTCTGGGGACGCTAAGAAGTTCTACTCAATTCATACAACACCGCATAACCATCTGTACACGTTAGGGGCCAGACACATAGTGCAAACTTTTTTTTTTTTTGACCTAGAGGCTGTGAAGGCCTGGGTGTCAAAGAACAAGGGTAGAAAGGATGAAGGAGGGCTCTGGGGAGGAAGTTG